CGGTGAGCCCGGCAAGAGGCGCTCGTACTGCGAGCGTCTTGAACCGACTCCCGAGGTCCCGTCCGAGGAGAATGAACTTGACCCGTATGGTTTTCCTTTGACGTCCCAGCTTTGTTCATCTCGGACTGTAGCAATGCTAACTCGCCTCCCCATTGTGTAGTGTTCGCGGTCGCCTTTCTCCAGCCTGGCAAATGCCCGCGTCTGGAAGTACTTTTTCCCCACGCTTTGAGACGCCTGGTGGACTCGAGGATTGGGATGATCTTGAGGGCGCCCACGTTGACCGATACGGATTCATTACTGTGCCGCCACCAAGAATCGGCACCCCGACAGAGACTAGATCTGCATCCGGCTCGCCTAGAAGACGTAACGTGTTACTAAAGCGAGATGCATATGGTTTATCGTCATCACTCAGCGGTCGGCGTACCCCAACTAGAAAGGTCTCTGCCAGGTCGCTCAACACACAGACATCCGAACTATCACTGTCAACGTCGCTTCGGTCGTCCCGATCCGTCATTCGTCAGGCCAGCAACCTGTTGCCTCATAACCGCGACAGGCGATGGATGGACGAAGCGGGGGATATGCTAAACCAAACGCCAAGCCTCCAAGATATTGTCGACGAGATTCAGGCCGAGAAGTTGACGGAGGTGATGAAGCGCAAGGAATGGGAGAGGTCAGAAAAGTGGAGGAGAATGGCCAAGGTCGTCCGCAAAGGCAGCGAAGGCCAAGGCATGGAGTTTGAGTTTGACTCCAAGAACCCGAAACTCATCGAGAGAACGTGGAAGGGTATCCCCGATCGATGGCGGGGAGCGGCGTGGTGGTCCTTCATGGCTACCAGCGCCAGGGAACACCAAGATTCGACCGCAGAGGATCGGATCGTGGCCGAGTTTCATCGGTTACAGCTACGGAGCTCGCCGGACGATGTCCAGATTGACCTGGACGTGCCTCGGACAATCAGCCGCCATATCATGTTTCGACGGCGTTACCGAGGCGGTCAACGACTGCTATTCCGTGTCCTTCACGCCATCTCGATATATTTCCCCGAGACGGGCTACGTACAGGGCATGGCATCTCTGGCGGCGACGCTGCTGTGTTACTTTGATGAAGAGAAGTGCTTTGTCATGCTGGTGCGAATGTGGCAGCTGCGTGGACTTGCACGTCTCTACCGCCCTGGCTTTGAGGAGCTCATGGCTGCGATGAGCGACTTCAGTACCAATTGGCTTAACAAAGAAGTCGCAAGTAAGCTGGTGAGTAGAGTCTATTGCTTCTTGATGACGCCGTTGGCCGGCGCTAACGATTTCAGGTCGAGCTCTGCATCGATACCACGGCATACGGTACGCGCTGGTACCTTACTCTATTTAACCTTTCCGTCCCTTTCCCAGCGCAGCTGCGAGTATGGGATGTCTTTCTCCTATTGGGCGACGACACGTCTGCATCAAGCGACTCGACGGTGCCCCGAAAGCCGGGAACCAACCCTCCCTCATCAGGCGAATACGATGTCTTGCACGCTACAAGTGCGGCATTGGCTCAAGCCTTACGGGAGGTTCTGCTAGACGCGGAATTCGAGAACGCCATGAAGGCGTTGACGTCATCTATACCCATCAAGGATGAAGACTTGCTCATGAAAGTGGTCAAGGCGGAATACAAACAACACCACGGCAAAAAGAAGGCGTAGCTTGCCTTGCTGCCATGACTCTGGTCCAACGAGGACTCTCTCCTTTGTCATAACCCTTCTTCCCTTTGTTCTTTGAGCTTTATCCCCTTTGTAATTTGCACGGAGCGGTGTCACGATACCCAGCAGGGTGCTTTTTTGTCTGCTTTGCGAGCCGCTCGATACCCCTCCTCAAGCTCCGGCCTCTGAGGAACCACATGCCTAGACGAGGCCCAACCTTTCCTTTGTACGCTGGTCCATGGCATATGAAACGTCATGGATACAGAAAAGAAGAAGGAGTTATCTGTTTTGGTGGTCGATAGCGTTTGGAGCCATGGAAGCTAATTCTATATACCCCCTCCTGGCACTGCTTTGCTTTGATGTCTGCTTTGAGGGTTATGAGGCTTGGGATGGGATGGGATGGGACAGGATGGGATCGTATGCTACGGGATGGGATGATACATGGACACGCCGACATGTGCATCAATGCACGTCGGAAAGAATTGAGGAAATGCATGATCAATTGGGGAAGAAGAGTGAGGGGCAAAGTCAGAGGTTGCGAAACGAGATACGAGGAAGAACAAAGAGCGATGGCGGGCTAGAGCTTGATGTAAGCCCAGCGCCTGTCTCGTTCGTCCTATTGGAGTAAATACAGCACAAAACAGCCATGAGCCATTGGAGCTGTGGCTTGTCTCATCATGTTGTCTCATCATATCATCGATTGTCATGCTCGTCGTCTGCTTTGGTGACATGGGCTCTCAGCCTTTTCTGCAGCCCGGTAGCATCGACCAAGGCAATCGTTGAGCTCAACTCGAGGCGAGACGAGACGCGCCAATCTGCGATGCATCCATTGCATGCGCATTAATACGCTCGCTAATCAACAATAACAATAACAAAGCTGCAAGCCCACGCTCCGTTTTGGTTAGGATGCATGCAAAAGCCCGAAGCGAGAAGGGGGGGATGGATGGAGGGGGGGTAAGAGTAAAGTAGGAGGAAAAGAGTCTGTGCTTCTCTCTCCCGCCCACCCATCTCTTTGTCTCGTCTCGTCTTGTCGTGTGCCTTGCCTTCGCTTACCTGCCGTGACGATTACCTCTTTTGGTCTTTACCTCCGAGGCGCGTCCCGGGGCCGGGGCCGGGGCCGGGGAACACGGAGGGCCCAGCAGGTCGGAAGCGGGCTCGGCGAAGTGGGGGTGTCAGGTGAAGGAAGTACCTATATCGAGACTCTTATGACAGTTTACATATCACTCCTTTTTTTTTTTTTTTTAACCCTTCTTCTATCTCTTTATTATCATCCTTGATCTTATTCCCCTGTCATCATTTTTTTTCTTTTACTGTTGAGGAGCCGACATACTCTTTAAAGCCCCAACTCCCGAAAAGAAGCGGGGGGGTGTAAGAGAGTAGATACCAACATATGCAATGCAACGGCTTGGCGATGGAGTGGGCGATATGTGACCAAAAACATACAACACATGCAGAAGAGGAGAAAAATAAGTGTTAAAAGAGAAAGAAGAAAAAAGGACCTGCGGGAATGACGATAACTGAGATATGCAATAGTTGACCCGTGTTATAGGAAAGAAATGCCACTTTTCTTTTCTTTTTTCGGTCGTTTCCAGCCCGCCACTTTTCGCTTCTCTCACCCCTTTGTCACAACATGTATCAGATCATCACCTAATCCATGGATCTCTCAATCGCATCTCAATCGCTCATCCCACGCGCCGTATTTTATCTCGCCTACGCAAGCCACACCGATTTCTCTCTTGCTCGGCCAAAACTGAAAAATTGGGACTAAAAAAGACAAAAAAGGTAAAAACAGGGTTTGAAACACCTTGAACCACTCGCTTCAGGTCTACGCACATGTGTGTTGTGTGTGTGTGGCTTTTCCTGCTAGGTTCCCTTTCTGGGGAGGGCTGAGGAAGAGTGGCTGGGCTTCTTTCGTATTCTTTTTCCCATCGTGTGGTTGCAGTTACAAAAAGTGGCATCTAGATTTCAGGCCTGCTTTTGACTTTTTCCCCTGATTACGAATTTGTGGCTTCTCTTGCAGGAACAGAGAAACTACCGACCACCACTGGACAGCACCCGGCAGTCGTTGAATCCGATAAGCTTTGTCCCATGTGCTTCCATCTTACTTGGTTAATTCAGACAAAGAGCATCACCAACTCGTTTAGCTCTCGTACTCACACCTTGAGGGTTTAACGTGGCCCATCGACAGGCTCCGTTGGTCAGTAGCAGCCATCCAACATCAAGCAAGACCCAAACCATCGTGAATATTCGCCTTGAATACTGTCATGCATTCCTCGAAGCCGCGAAACTTCATCTTCCTGTCCGGGCCATCCCCGCAGGGTATCTATAGTGTCCGTATGATCCATAGTCGTCATCCCCTTCTCCCATGTCCATGTCCATGTCCATGTCCTTTTCGACCCCAAGCAAGCAAGCTAAGCTCCATGCACCAAACAATATGCGTACAATCCCAATCAAGACAGACTCCTTCCTCCACCATGTTGATATGGATTCATGCTGAGAACTCCGCTTCCTTCGAGTCGAGTCCGCCCATTCTTTAACCTGCCTTGTTTTTCCTTGGCCTCCCTGTTCCTGTCCTATCCTTTTCTTTCCTACCAGAGTCATACCAACAGAAATATGCAATTAAAACATGTAGTTCCTAGAGTTGCGCCTTGAACCTCTAGCAGTAATAAAACAGAGCCAACAACCCATTGTTTGAGCTCGGAATCGAATTTTGATAGTAGTAATCGTCGTGATAATGGGGTGATTGTTTGCCCGGCTGTAGTTGAACAGCGTCTTGTCCACGACTATTGATGGTCTGGAATGCTGCTCTTCATTCCAGTCGTGGTGGATCCCAGGTGCGTTGCCCAGCCGAGGCAAACACAACTCTCCCAGTGTCGTGAATAATTTTGATAATATCCTTATTCAAGGTCGAGTAAATATCCATCGAGAATGATCGACTCCATCTGCGAAAAAATCGATATTGGCGCGTGGCGCGCAAGCGTGAGGGTCGATCGACATGGACGCGCCAAAAGGAAATTAATCAATCACCCTTGCGCTCCTTCGCCCTCCCCTGTGCCTTCACGCCTCGACATTTCCTCAACACTAGTCTGCGGCTTTGTTTCAACTGGAGACGCTTGCTGATGCCCGCGTTCCACCTCCTCTACCGGACGAGGGATGCCCGAGTGCTGTGACAGTGGTCGGGGCTCTTCCGAGAGCAGAGACGATACCGATTGCTTTTGAGATTCGCTGCGTTCGCTTCCCACTCGGTCTTGTGAGGGCCCCGGTGAGCTACGTATCGGCGACATTCGGCGGAGCGGTCCTCCAAAGCTTTCTCTTCGTGATCGTCCTGGCCCTACGCTTCGAAACGGCGACATGTCGCTTCTTTGCCGTGTATGCCCCCGTCTTCCTCCCCGAGATGTCGGATTAACAAAGCTGCTCTGAGAAAAGGGGGGCGGCGGGGATCGAAGTCGTTGCTCGATACGGGTGGGAGATGGAGCAGGTTGGTGCTGCCCCGTGGCCTTGCGCTTTCTGGGAGTCTCCCCTATGGTCACAGAAGCTGCGTTAGTCTACAGAGAATCTTGCTTCCTCTTAGGCTTTGACGAACCGGAAGGGCTTCCGGGCCGGTTCGAGCCGCCGCTGGCTTGCGATGTCGGCGGTTGCCAGTGATGGAAGTATATCGAGGGGCTCGACTGAGACTCGTGCTGCTGCTGCTGCTGCTGCTGCTGTTGTTGTTGGGCTTGGTGCATGTGCGGGTGCGAGTGCATCCCCGGAGGAGGACCATGCGCGGGCTGAGGAACGTTTGTGTTGAGGCTCGGTAATGCTCCCATGGGCCTTCCTATGACGCCGCTCACCGTCTGGCCTCTCTGCCTCGTTGGTGACCCTGGATACGCATATCCAGTGGCCGGTGGTGCCGGGGCGGGAGGGAGACCATGATGCTGTGCGTGAGCCTGCTGTGCCTGTGCGTGCGCCTGGGATTCTCGCTGGTGCTCAGGAGAAACAGGCCACCCAGCAGGCATTATCTGAGCCCTAGGGACTTGTGAGGGTGGCATAAACTGCTGAGCCCACTCCAGAGCAGCCTGTGGCATAATACCTCCGCTGGCCATCCCGGTAAAGACGAGGGGGACCATTGGTGGAGGGATGCCGCCCGAGAGAGAGGTCCTCAACATGTCCATCTCGACTTTTCGCTGCTCCAGACGCAGACTCTCTTGCCTCGTCCGCTCCTCCTCTTGCCTTCTCTTGTCCTCCTCAGCTCTTGCCTGCAGCCAATGCTTCATGGACTCCTCGGCTCCTTGCCATTGCTGAGGCGGAGCGGGTAGCTGGCCCCAACTATCCCTCTGCTGGTGACTTGGAGGAGCCAGAGCAGGAGGTGGCGGGGGTGGTGGTGGAGGTGCATGATGTGCAGGTGGAGGAGCAACACCGGCTGGAGGCTGCTGAGGAGGAAGAGTCATGGCCGCCGGGGGAGGCAGGCCACGGTGAGGAGCCGACATGGGCTGGGATGGTGGGCTGTGGCTCCGGTGAGCGACCGGCAAGGACTTGGTTGCTGGCTCTTGATATATCAAGGGGGGAGAAGGTCGAGAGGTTGATGGCGGAGTCGGCAGGTCATGGACGGACTTGTAGCCGTAGGTTGGTGGCTGCTTGACGGTAAGCATCGTTGTGTGGCAGCTGGGCTACGCCAGTGGGGGCATGTGTGCGTGCGTGGGCGTTTCGGGGGCTGGGACTATGTTGCTATTGACTTTTGCAAAGGGGATGCAGAAGTCAAAATGACACAGGTGAGACCGGAAACATTGGAGAGAGGGGGGAGGAGGAGGAGAAGACGAGAGAAAGATGAGCCGAGGGGAGTTAGGGATGGAGGGAGTTTTGTGTTGGTGTTGTTGAGGCGGAGAGGGCCGATATGAAGAGGAAGGAGAAACAAAACAAGGTACGATGGAAATAATAGGGAAACAATGGAAAAGAGGACAAGAGTAAAAAGAAGGAGGGCATACGATGTGGATGCGGATGCACGCTTTGTATAAGGCGGCCGAGATGGCGATGGCGGCGGCGGGAGCGGGCGGCGGGCGAGCTGGAGATGACGGCCAGCTTCAGAACTGTGGTGGCGGTCGAAACGGGCGGGGCGGATGAAACCAGTTGACAAGGGCCAAGCTCATTTGGAACCGGTCATGGATGGTTCTTCCACATGGCACACATGGGGGGCACGCGCAGAAAGAAACAGAAAGCCAATGCTGATGCTGCCAATGGATGGATGTTGGTGGTGGAGGGGGGACCCAGAGGAAGAGACGGACTGAGAAGAGGCTCCAGCCAACGCCAACAGGTGGAGTCGACAACAGAACAACAAGTCAGAGAAGGAAAGTCCCGGACAGACTCTCGAGACAGAGCCAGCTCCAACTTCAGCTGAGAAGAAATCGAAGAGAAGGCCAGAAGGAGAGAATGATAACCCAGATAGGTACCTAGGCAAAGACGACGACAGACGGATACACGGGCTGCCAACACGGACACGGACGCAGGTACCAGCCGGCGTAATATGTTAGTTGGTCCTGTGTTAACCAACAGACAGTCTGTGTGGTTGTCGATGGTTTGAGAAACCCGTCCAGAACTGTCCTTGCAATAGAAAGGAATGACAAGCTGAGGACCGGACCTCCTTGACAATGCAATGCAGCCCAGGCCTAGGATCTGGCTTGTCTGGCTCGTCCTTTGGCTTGTCCACAAACCGGCCTTTCCACTGACAACTCTGCCGCGACGGGGACGAGGGTAGCTCGCAAGCTTACAGAAGATCAGAGAGCTAGGGAACAAGGACAACGGCTCAGGAACAGAAGGAACGAATAAGGATTGAGAATTTGAGATCGAGGTGGAGGGAGGGAGGGAGGATGAGGAGGATGATCTTCATTCCGCGATGGATGAGAGGGAAGGGAAGAGGAAAAAAAGAGGGCTGAGCGAAGGTAGCGAGTGAGGATCGAAGTAGGTGGAGAGAGGTGGTGAAAAGAGAATGGAGCACACCCGTACACGCACACTCCCACACACTCCCACACACGCCCACCACCCGCTTATACGCACATCATCAAGCGCTGGCTGCCGAAACGTCTCGTCTCTGGCGTATCCTCCTCCGACCTGCGTCTCGGCTTGCTCGCTCGCTAGCTGGCTGGCTGGCTAGATTCGCAATCAAAGAGATTCCCGGAGCTTTCGAAGGGGGAGAAAGCCTTGGTGAAAGCCCTCCCCGGCAAGCCAGGGGATGAGACCGGGGAGTGTCAGTCTAAGAGGGTCGAAAGTCAGAGCCAAGGGCTCTCGAACAAGATGGCCTTGACAGCCAGCCAGCGGGCAATGGGCCAAAACGCCAGCAATTACAACCGGGTCACGCCCATCAACGACAATCAGGGCAAGGTCCGAGGCGGAAATCGTGCCAGTGTGGAGAAGCGAGCGTGCCTGGATTATTTTACTAAAGCAAGGCCAGGCAAGGTTACCTTGGAGGTTTGGGATAGAAGCGTGTATCAGAAAGAGATTTGACAGATTAGGCACATGGTAGGGACTTGACTTGGTGTCGGCCACAGAGCACTCACTGGGATGAGGATGGGGACGGGGACTGGGACAGGGGTCAATGCCAGTGGTGGCAGTGGGTGGCAGAAGAGCAAGGAAAAGTGGCTGAGGCGACTCTTGGAGCTGAGGTAGGAATAAGAGCCCAGTTCGGTTGCCAGAGTCAAGTGTGGATGGTTTTAGAACTCCGAGAGCCAACAACAAGGCTTGTGGGACGGACGAGGGTAAGGATGGATGAATGGATCAAGTCCAAGTGGAGGGCATCGGGAGCCAGGGAGGGGCGTGCGCCATCAACCTTGTGTAGGAGTGTGTGAAGCGGAGCGAGAGCGTGAACAAGTTGCCTGGCCCATCTCCCATGTTCTGCTGTAATGGGTGCATGTAAGTGAAGCTGCTGGGTCGGCATCCGTGGGTATTCGCTCATCGAGGCTAGATTGAGCAACTACTTCGTCGAGTCTTGTGTTGGTGCAGCTCCGGAGTTGACATTGAAAGAGATGGGCAAAAGTAAAACCAGACAGGTGAGACGGGATGGCTGCACAACCTGTGTCTTGTTAAGCTTTCGTTCGTGCTTAGCCCTACCTACCTTGTAGCTCTCGAGAGCAAAAGGCCATGAGGTAGAGGGCCATGAGGCAAAACCCTATTGTGAGCACCTTTGTCCAGCCAAGCACTCTTCCCGTCTCGAGTTAACTCGTAGCGGGGAGTGTGAGACAGGTTGCAAGCACCTCCGGTAGATGAGCGGCAATTCAGGAAATCGTCAATGGCGTCGTTGCTCGTAATCATGGAGGGCTGAAAAAAGCCCTGTCGGCGCCTAGGATTTCGATCCAGTGCAGCAGATAGAGGACCGTTCTGGCGTATGACGGACGATTTGCGAGCATTTGGTTGGGCAAAGTGTTCTGGTTGTGTCGGGTTGGGTGCCTCAGCGGCCACGTTTTTCCCGTCTGTTTCTCGTATTAACCTGCCGTTGGTCAGTTGCGGGTTTTCTTTTTCTCTTCTCGAATCCAAGCTCTGCAAGGGTTTTGTCAAGTTGCCCAACCAGTCCGGGGTGCTGGTGAGGTTAGCGATTTAGACTGAGTTGAGCTGTAGAGGGTGCCAGCTAGCAGTGCGGTTGCATAGCATACCAATTTTGGATGCCGGCCAACCATACATAACTATGAAGCCATTAATACGGTACAGCATCTCCAAGGGAGGGAGGGAGGTGAGAATTTGGGTCCCAAGAAGAAGCTCGACCAGTTCGTGTTGTGCCATGTACTACAAGGATTGGGCACGACTTTAATCGAGGCACGGGAAGTGGGCAAGTGATGGATCTCAGCAAGTGGCCCTCGAGCGGGCTGCGAGAGACGGTTCCACCAAGCGCGCTTCCCATCGTGGGTTAGCAGCCGGGTTTAAGCTGCTTGTGGAGATGCGGAAGAGGGAGGGGCGTGCGAGTCTACGCCTGTGTCTTTCGGTGCCAGGGCCTGTGGCTGTGGTCTATTGTTTCGGGTGCGACGGGGGTCCATGACAGAAGAGAAATTGGGCAAGATGAGCGGGAATATGAAGTTGAAGCCATCGTGAAATGGTGTTTTCCGGTCTTTGGTCTGGTTCTGGCTCTTGGAGATGGTCGGTTGGTACCTGTTCAAGGAGACGTGGCTGAGGTCCTTTCCTTCGTGCCTGCCTAGGTACCAACCCAGGGAGGTGCCTCGTCTAGCAGGTGCCGTCGGCATACTGCTTCGATCTGTTCTTCCTTCCTCACCTCTGCACCAACTCGACCAGCTTACCCAGGAAGGTAGGTTATGAGCAAGTTTCCTCAGCCGCCCTTTCCGTCCAACAGTGGCGCCTGGGATGGAAGTCAAGGTATCCATCCACATTCATCGAGGAATTCATCAGCCTCGTCGTTGTTTTGCCCTCTTCATCTCTTGGCATCGTTTACCGAGTCTCCGCCACGCTCTCACACTTCTCTACTCGGTGTGGGCATGTTGGCAAATCCACCCGCGGAGCCCAACTTGGCGACTTACACCAGCAACGGACTCACACCTCATGTCAGAGTCGATCAGGCACCCAGGACAGGCAATCGCCAATCGACAGCCTTCAACATTGTCGATTCATGGCCCTTGGCTAGGGAAAAGTCTATTCACGGACCACTGGGAACGGCGACGTTGCGGCTTCTGTCTGGTGAATCTCGAGTGGCAACATCATCCATCGTCATCCTCAACGGTCAAGCGCTTGCAGATCCCTTCTGGCTCTACCGCTTGCCCTTTTGCGCCCTCAATTCCTCGGGGCAGCCTGGTCTGGCCAGCTGGCTAGTCAGCTTCACCTCCATTCTCGATTAATGATGCCTAGGTTGGTCATGATGCATTGGCCGAGCTGCTGCCTCTTACTGTGGCCATCTAGCGCAGTCAGAGACAAGCTCTAGACGGCGGAGAGCAATCCAGATTCGCCAGCCACCGTCACCATCGCCAGGATGCTCTCGAGCGATGGGCGGGACCTTACCCAAGTTGATGGTTGAACCTACCGCCACACAGCCACAGGCGCCAGGTCCGTCTAGGGCACGATGGAGCATGGCGCTCTAAGTGGTGCTCTCTGTGCCCCGCGAAGGCCATCCGTTCATTTACATACCTGGTAGAGAACGTCCTATCGCCTGTGATCGCAACCACAACAAAGAGACAACCCAACAACAACAGCTTGGAATTCCTCCCACCCCGTCGATTTGTGGATGAGAAAAGGCCGCTAACAACCCTCACCATCCCTTCAAATCTCCCTGCTTCAATCTCTGCACTTGAAGCATCCAAACATGTCTGATCTGATGGTCATCGCCCGCATCTCGTCATCTCTTCATGTTGACTTTGAACCCTTGTCATCGTCATCACAGGGCAAAGATGAGCAAGGTCAGTGGCGCCCCACTCTCAGACCCCACCCTCTCTAAACGGTTACCGCCCCTCTTGCGCCGTTAGAATTCGCCGGCTGCCGGGAGTGCGCCACGATCCAGGTCAAGGTTAGAGTCGCGGGGCTGACGACGATCAACAGGGCCTCGATTTGCTCGAGGATGGATGTGCCTCTTTCATCAGCCCTCAAGACCAAATCTCGTCGGAAATAGCGCCCCCTCAAGCCCACGTTGGACCATCGGCAAGGATGATCATTCTGTGTAGTATCCGTA